TAAAAGAAACTTTCTTCTAACTTTAAAGTACTTGTAGCTTCTTTAATTTTTCTCATTTGATGTTTCATGCTCGATTTCTAGATGAAGAAACCACGTCCGTAAACTTTCTTAGCAACTGTGGAAGAAATGACGTTGACGAACAAAAAAAACGCCAACCCATTCTATTTTCTGTAGTGAAAAGGAGAGTAAAGAACAGTTGTACAGAACGGTCACAGACAGTCACCGCCCTTAGTCATGGGTGGCCGTACAATCAATGCATATTGTGCCATACTGCCATCATGCCAATTGCAAGACTCTATTGAATAAAATGAGAGCTACATGCATAGGTGTGTTTATGAACACATCTAAACTTTTAGAAATGGTTGAGAGCCACATGAATAGCAGTGATTATAGTCATATAAATTTAATTTAATTTAATTTATTTAGTATTTTGTTAATTTATAATTTTTTAACAATTAATTATAATAATTAAAAAGTATTAATTTATAAATTAATTTTTAATTAATTAAATAATAAATATTAAATTAGTTATAAGTTATTCTTAACATTTAAATTAAATAAAGTTAATATATTTTTTAAACAAAATGTTTTTTTTAAAGTATAAATTGCACGAACCTGGTTCTTCGGGCCAAGTAGCTCTTGCAACGTTTATAAGGTTCATATCCCCCTCTCTCTTAGGGCAACGGTTCGAACCGGTCCCATGTCAAAATGTTAAAAAAAACAAAAAAGTATAAATTGCACTAAAAAATGCAATTTGAATATTGGAACTACCAAAACACTCTCAATAAAACTTTTCCTTATGTTTATTAATTAATAATATTTTAATAATTTTAATGCTATAATTTTTTTATGGTTTATACTAAAAATGTCTAATCGTTCTCTTTTTTAAAAGTGATAGTTTATTTATATATAAATTTCACATACTATATTTATATTAAATTTCAATTATTTATCTTTTTACTTTTAATAATTGAAATTTATTTATATTTATTAAAAATAATTATTTTTATTTAAAAAAGTATGATAAATTTTAATCATTAAAAGTACAAAGATAAATAGTTAAAATTTTATTTAAGTATAATATATAAAATTTATGTGTCAGTAGATCTTTTCTTTTTTAAATAATATTATGTAATTTTAACAAAATAATATATGTCAACTATTTAAATAATTCAATCATAATTTTATTTTATTAAAAGTAAAAGGTTTTAATTTTAAATTATATGATATTTGAGTGAAATAATTTAAAAAAGAAAAAGAAATTAGTTTTCATTGCATAAATCAAAATAAAAAAATAAGATAATATATGTCTCACCATAAAACAAGATTTTGTTTTTTTAATTTTAAATTGCATGAGTGCTTGCACAAGCAATGACGCACATATTACAATATAACGCATCATTCAGAGAGGATTATAAGATTATTAACCATAACCCAATCCTAGATTATCAGCATTAATGTCCAAGCAGCAAAGAAAAAAACAAAATACTAACATTGTGGTCCTGTTTAAGGAGATTAAAGGAATCTTTGCCCAGTTTTGGTTCACGAGGAAAGAAACAAAGGAAAAACATTTACAGTGAGGGAATACCAGGGATGGCATGGAACTGACCTCTTATGCGCCGGAAGCTAAATAACAGTCATCAAGAAGCAGAAAAATGAGAAGCAGCAATAGCATAATAGTCAGAGCAGTGTGTTAGATTACTTGCATTCTGATATAGCAATTGGTCATGCATCAGTACCCTATTTCTATGGTTCAAGAAGAACAAGCATGTGATATAATCTGAATAGAGGGAAGTTCATGGTACAAGGAGAAAAGATGTTTTGTTTGGGAACGTAAGAATTGTGGGCGATAGCCAGGCAATTAATATGGTACAATTTCAAGGAATTTGAAGCATCCCTGCTCACATCCTTGAATAGCTCCTATAATCTTCGTATTGCTCCATGAACTCATCATTGAATTTCTTGAAGCTGTCCATGATTGCAGGCATGTCTTCCTCTGCCGGTAAAATTGTTGTCCTTAAGTGGAAGACTCTGTTTGGAATAGGTAAATTTATTCAGACAGTCACATTCAACTAACATTATTTAACTCACACAAAAGTCAGGTAAAAGCATAGTCGAGTCGATTCAGTTCAAGCCTTTTAGACATAGCACTATAGTAGGATAGCTGATTTTTATATTATATATCATATACCAGATGAATACTCGGAAAAGAAATTGAATGGAAATAATTACCCTTCTTTCTGTCCAAATCCTGATCCAGGGACTGTGGAAATGCCAGTTGCTTCCAATAGCTTGAGACAGTAGAAAACATCTGGAACTTTTCCCGCCTTTTTGGCAACTTCTATGGCCTTAGGAGGCAAGCGTATTTGAGGGAATGAATACATAGCACCTGTATAATGAACAGTTAGTAAATATCAAGGAATATGAGTAGAATTACGGTTGTTGGGGGAAGCAGCTTTTACCTTCTGTAAAATTGCAAACCACATTTCTGCAGCTGTTAAATCCATCAGTCATTATCCTTGCTCTCTTTCTAAGTGATTCGAGGATACCTTTGCTGCATATTTGGCAGAACACTGTCATTCAAAGCCCAAGGAGTCTATTGATAATACCATTATTATTTTGGTAATTAACACCGTAATGTTCTAACCACCTTTAAAAAAAATTGGTATTTCTTGGGTATTTCCATGTGCAGTGTAATTAATGCTGGAAAACCCCTCTTATTGATACTTTCTCATGAATAAAAGTGTCTGAATGATAGCAAACGGAACAAAATCTGGTGTTCATTTTGATTTGACAATCAGAAAGCTTAAAGATTATCAAGAATCAGGTTTTACTTAATTGTTATCTGAAGGATAATGCAGCCAGACTCATGGGAGAATACTGTACCTTTCTCTAACAAACTGGTCATATGAAATGTCTCCAGGTTTGGGTGGGTTAACCATTAACCCCATCTGCAAATGAAGAAGAAACTTGTTTATCCCACTGTTAATATATTAGAAAAGAAAACTGAGATTTCAAAGAATAGAATGACAACAAATATTCAGATCCAACTTACAAATATCTGAGCAGGAACATTTGGACTGAGTGATATTGATGCAATCTTATAGATCTCATCAACAGTCTGCAATATCAAATAATAACAATAAGAGTATGAGCACCAGCAGTTTAGCTACATTGTGTTTTTCAAAAACAAGAATTGATATTGTGCTTCAAGTCTAGTTGGAAGAACAACCAGACTGGAAATCTTATGTATGCATGGACATGATTCCATGGTGAAGCAGTTTGTTTGTAATTATAATCACATTAAAAAATAATGGCATTTGATGTTTAACAACAACCCGAAGTTGGGACATTTTGTTTCATCTTCTACGTGATCAATGACTTAGTATCACAACCTATTGACATTTTTTAAGATTTTACTATTCTAATTTGTGAATTCTATTATTAATATGTGCTAACACTCACAGCTATAAACAAAACAAACCTTTGGAGGAATGTTTGTCATCTCAAAGTATCCACCCCGCTGCCCGCACTCACCCCAATATCCTTTGGATACGGTGTGGAAAGAAACAAGCTGAACTTCGTTGCTCAAGGGTGGCCCCATTTCCATCAAAACCTTCCAGTGTAATAAGGAAACATGAAATTAATGCAAGCTGAACTGACACAATGCTAAGATTATTTATTTATTTATTTTTGTTTTTTGACTGAAGATAAACACAATAAAGAATTGAGTAGGACCTAACCGATATGTATATTTATATTTACCTTTCTAGCACTGATAAAGGGACGTTCATCCTGGTATATGTTCTGCTGATAGACTTCATCTCCAAGTAGAACTAAGTTTTCATGGAAACAGAAGCGCAATATCTCTCTTAGATTAGCTTCACTTAGGCACTGACCGGTAGGGTTTCCAGGGTTAATGATAACCATTGCTCTCACCTGGTCATATTTAAGTATGTAAGAGAGCCAGATGGCAATACCAAGAAAGAATAATCAGTAGATAAGCCACAAAAAGGCATGCCAAATAAAGTTAGATGTTGCAGTATTAAATCAAAATTGAATAAAGTAGTGAAAAACTTTCATGGCTTGATGGATAAGTTTCAGAGAAAAAAATGAAAACAGCTTAGCTACTTTGAAGTCAGAACACTCAGCAGAAAGCAGGTCGATTAGATTAGCTGCCTGTTCATTCATGTTCAGGCTTCTTTATTATCCATCCACTGATTCAGTTTTTATATTCATCTTTGTTTCTGACCAGATTTCTCATATCATTTGATCAGCAAGTGGTAAAAGCATACTAACAGTTATTCCATTAGAGCGAGCCTGGACAACTGCTTGGCGAAGGTCATTAACATCAAGTCCCCAATTTGCACTCTCTTCAAGGTAATATGGAACAAGAGAACCACCAAATAGAGATATTGTGGCTGAGTAAAGAGGATACTGTGGGACTGGAACCAAAACCTGGAAACGTAATTTTTTTTTTTTTAATAAAAGAGAATATATGAATAAGCACAAGGACAAAGGATCTCCAACGAGCGATACAGTATAAGCAACTAACGATTTCTTACCCCATCCCCTTCACCACGGATAATACAGTTCAATATCTGCATCACACCTTTGCTAGCACCGTCAGTGAGGAATATGAGTTCTGGGTCACTGCCATTGGAAGGAGAGTAAACAAAACCTTGAGCCTTTAGCTTGGGCACTGAATATTGAAAAGACTTTTCTTAGAACTGTAAAATTATAAATCATTAGCATCAAGCAGTATCACCTAGGATACCCATCACGCCTTCCTATGAACTCCGCCACCTCCTTCCTTATCCCAGGAATACCTCTGGAATCACTGTAAGCACCTGGACATATGGTCAAGGAACAGATGTAATTCACTTTCTGAATTATGGATGAATCTCCTAACTTCTGTGAACTCATTGGAACCGTTCATCAGCTATGCACTATTGGTAGAAAATAGGAAACAAGCAAAAGCATAGTTGTAATCTAAGTAAATTAAACAAAAGCATATGTATAAGAAAAGAATTAAAAAAACATAAGATTGGCATTTACAAAGACAATAACATTAACGGGAACATAAGATTACAGAAATCAGCAAAAAGATCAAATGCCAGATTAGCACCATTACATCTTATATATATAAGAAATAACTCAAATTATTCAATTTGAGAGTGCTATATCAGGAATCTCAAACTCAATTCTTTTTACCCACAATTGAAGTGATATACCTAGACCACCAGTGGTCAATGTAAGATAGTGTTTAGCTCTTGCAATCGCATCTACTGGAAATAGCATCCCCACATTAGGATCGTCTAGCAGAAATGGAGCTTGGCACAGAGCAACCACCTGCAGTAGCAGAATTTCTTGGCTTGATAAAGGCCATAATAAACTGCATAAGCAACAGTAACAAAAAAGGAAATATCTGTATCATACTTGACGAGGGAAACTCAGAGGCTTCTGTCCCAGAGCGTGGGGGTTGCCAACATTAGTGAAAATAATCTGGATGTATAAAGATATAAGCGGTGAGACAACCAGACTCTCAAGAAAATACAACAGCATGCAAAAGTTCACGTTCGAACAAAATTTCAGTAGGGGATGTGAACGTACCTTCTTTCCTTCCTTCTGAAGCTCAGAAGCTCGAAGATACAACTCACCTCTTACGGCATACTGAACCTTCTTTACATTTTCATTCAGTGACTCATAGTCTAATGCCTTAGGCCCCATGATAGACTAATTCGTTCCTTAGAGACACCACCACCCCAACTAAGAAGGAAGGGAAAAGGAATTAAAAAAGCAGCATATAAACTCAGTCCTTAACCTGTAAATTAAAACACAGAAAATAATAACCTTGTACACAATTTTTTTTTTTTTGGATTTTCAGTCCTTCTGTTCTTAGTTTCATACCGAATGATATATGGCAAAACTACAGCGAAAGCACTTCCATTCATAACTAAGCAAATTATATTGATTCACAATGTTTTCCAGCTGTTTGTTTCAACTTTCAAGCGTGAATTACCATTTATCATTGAGGAAAAGATTGAATGTTATGGACTAAGACAACCAAACAAATCACTGAAAATCAAACTAACTTGAAATTATAAAATCAGCTGAGATCGACTTCATGCTTGAAACTGCAAAATCCCTCCATTAATAAAGTAAATCATAAAATCAACCAGAATGTACACAAAAACCGAAATCAACACAACTGTAACAACATGAAGGAAAAATCACGCCGTTATTGAATCAAACAAGCACTGTGAAGTTTTCCAAACAGAAAATCATTCCTCCAAAACAATATTCTGCCATTAAACTGGACTGGAAAACACCTCATGAAATAAACAGAGAAAGAGAACAGCACGAATGAATAGAAAATCAAAAGCATTAACGGTCCTTAATTCTTCAACAAAACCGAATTCGTTCGCAATAACAAGTAAACAGAGACAACCAACAGTTGAAGAATCCAAACAGGTACCTGACGTGAGTCTCCGCAAATGCAGTGTGAGTCAGGGGTGTGCAGGGTGAAGAGAAACGCGACGCACCAGTTTTCCCTGAGAGATTGCTAAGTGTCAGAAAATAAGAGCAGGGAAAGGGTAATATTATATGGGAGTAGGTAAGAAGCACCAGAGCCACTGAAATGAAGCACATGGATTTTTTGGGTGTTGAGACAAAACAACAGGATAAAACTGGCGCAGGAGGTGTGGTGCAGCTTCAAATGCTTAGTTCATATGTCTTGGTCGCTCTCAGGGAGTGTAGTGGCTGATATTTCATCGTGGAATTTAGATAGCGCTTGGGTTTGGGGCCGTAAGATTGACACTTTGAGCCAATTATTTATCATCAAGTATAAAACAAAGAGGATTTTAGGCCCTGAGAGACAAAGTTTGAGATTGATGGCATATTGTTCGTTCGATTAATAAGATTAGAATAATAATGATGATTGTAATGATAATGTTTAACGGCACTTGGCCTATAACAAACTTAGTCCGTTCCAATAACTAATATCCAGCTTATTGAACTCAACCTAAGTTTAGAAATTCTTTGTCCAACTCCAAATGAGACAGTTAGTTACAAAAAGAAAAAAAAAAAAGAAGATTGTGTTCCAATCCAAGGGAGACAATCATAAATCAAACAGAGAAGGATATTTGGCAGCCAATCCTGCTTGTGGAGTTAATTGCAATAATTAAAAGCTTAAGGACTTAACTCAACCTCTCTTATAACTTCAAGGAATCCAAGTTCACTTGTGCAAAAAGAATTAAGTTCAACTTTAATTTATTTAGTTTTCGTTAATAAATTTCAAAGAAAAACTTAATAAATTATATACATAATAATTAAATTTTTTTATCAAATAAAAATACTTGATATTTAATAAAAATAACATATAGTGAAAAAAATATTTTTAATTATTTTTTATATAAATTGTTAAATTTTTATTTAAAATTTACATTAAAAAGTCAAAAAATTAAAATAAAATTAGAGGGAAAGCATTTTTTTTTGGTTAAAATTATATAAAATACTGTAGAAAATAACTACCATCTAACAATAATTTACTTTTTAAGTGAAGTAAAAGGTCCATAACTTCTTTGAGCCTAAGCATTCTGGAAGGAGGGAGAGTTATGAAATGCCAATTAGACTAAAACGCACCGTTTTAAATCTCTCTCTCACGCAGTGAACAGTTAGAAGAAGCCCATGCGCAAGTGCGAGATCGAGCTCCGTCACCGTTCTTTCTTTGAAAACTCTGACAAAGAGAGGAATTAAATTGAAGAGAAAATTCCCTATCGTACTTTCCCAGGTGCCAAACAAACTTTCTCGGCAATGGTTTCTCTACGACTATCACCGATTCCGTGGCGCGGGGAACTTCACAGTTTCTGCAATTAGGTCGCTTTTCTCAGTCAATTCAACCGCTAACTCGTCAGATCTCATCCGGCTTCGGCAGGTCGGATCCGATCTGTGAAATCCTTAAGAGATCGAAAAGAATGGCCGGGGCGGTCTCCGCTCTGTTCCTTCTAGACATTAAGGGGCGCGTGCTGGTGTGGCGTGACTACCGTGGCGACGTCTCTGCCACTCAAGCAGAACGCTTCTTCACCAAGCTCATCGAGAAAGAGGTTCGCTCCTTCGCTCTCAGCTGACAATCTAACTATTGGCTTTGTTTCTTTTTTTGTTTCACTTAATGTTTTATGTAACAGTTTTAGAGTTTTTCTTGGATTATTATTGTGATTTATTTGATAATTTTCTGTTTATTCTTTTAATGATGCTTCTGCTCAGGGCGACCCGCAGTCTCAAGATCCAGTTGTGTATGATAATGGAGTGACATACATGTTTATACAGCACAGCAACGTCTACTTGATGACAGCTTCGAGACAGAACTGCAATGCGGCTAGCCTTCTTTCTTTTCTACACCGAGTAGTTGATGTAAGCTCCATTGCTAATTTTAGTTTCATGCCTTTCGTAGTAACAAGAGATCTGGCATGTTCAATCTATTGTTTGTTGTAAATTATATGGTCTTGGACTCGGTTGTTTATCTTGATTTTATCTTTCTTGCAGGTCTTCAGACATTATTTTGAAGAGTTAGAAGAGGAATCACTTAGGGATAATTTTGTAGTGGTGGTATGTGGGAGTGGAATTCTCGAGCAGTTTTTTCTTCTTCTAAATTTTTTTAAAGAATGTTTTGGATAACTTGATCTGGGATTAATCACATATACTGTTAAGTTTGTTTTTCAAAAAGAGTTTATGAATTGAGATATCACCTGTTGTTGTTCATCATGTTGTTGTTCATCATTTTGGTGGCAGTATGAGTTACTTGATGAAATGATGGACTTTGGTTACCCTCAATATACGGAAGCAAAAATTCTTGGTGAGTTTATCAAAACTGATGCATATAGGATGGAAGTTACTCAAAGACCTCCTATGGCTGTTACAAATGCAGTCTCTTGGCGAAGTGAAGGGATTGCCTATAAGAAGAATGAGGTGACTGGCATTTCCATTTTTTCTCTCTTATCTTTTTTTAGTTGTTTAAAGATGTGTTGAAATTGAACCATTAGATAATAGTGGTTTTGTTCTTCATTCAGGTTTTCTTAGATGTGGTGGAGAAGGTTAATATTCTTGTCAACAGCAATGGACAGATAATTAGGTCGGATGTTGTTGGAGCATTGAAGATGAGAACCTATTTGAGGTGTGTTTTCTGTAAAATTCTTAATTATTTGGTCCAACTCAGGATAATGCTTTGTTGATTGAGCTGATGATTCTCTGGTTAAATGACGCTCGATGGTTTATTTGCTTGCCTACTGAGTAGTGAATGGTGATATAATGTGCATAATTAAAATGCTAGTCTGAAAAAGTCTGTCTAAGTGAATTATATGCTTCAGATTTCATAAAAACATTTTGCTTCAGACAAATAATGTAATAATACCTAGTGATTTTGAAGTCAAAGTTCAGTCATATGTTAAGTTATTGCACAAACAAGGGTGGATTAAAGTAATAGAGTCATTATAGAACTTGGCTTCAAACACCATCTTCTGGAAGTTGTAAAAGGAGATCTTAATTTGACCATGTGAATTGGTGTCTTTCTTTCCCCATTTTGCACCAACTTGCTGGCATCTCTCTTCACTAAAAATTCTGTGTCAACAGATTTATGCTTCAGATGAATAGTGCTATGGTATTTTTGTAAGTTAAAGATCAGCCATAAGTTACTTTATCAAATAAGGAAGTCACATTGAAGTTATAGAGTTATGATAAGACATGGATTTTCTTATAAAACTTTAAGAAAGGGAGAATTGTTCATGATTTTGCTTGAACTTGTCTTTCTACCTCTTTGCTTCCTTGCATGCTGCTCTGTTCATTGAAATTTCTGTCTCAAAGTGAATGTTCATTGTAGCAAAAGTTTGTGATGATTATGTTGATTTTCTATGTGCTTATTCTGCTCAATTATTGGGTGGAATGTGTATAATGCCAAGCTCTAGATACTTATTTAGAAATTTGAATTGTGTTGATGATTTGCATTGCTTATAGAAGTTTGCTTTGCTCTTGAACTTTTGCATTTGGTTTAACTCTCTGCTCATTTCTTGGCATTGACTTAACTTTTACAGTGGTATGCCTGAGTGTAAGCTTGGCCTAAATGATAGAGTATTATTGGAGGCACAAGGCCGAGCAACAAAGGGAAAGGCAATTGATCTGGAGGATATAAAATTTCATCAGTATGTACCTTTTGCCTCTGCTTTAAATCTCACAATTCTGTTCTTAGCTTTGCTAACTATTTGCCTTTCCATTAAATACCATTTTGATTCTAGGTGCGTGCGGCTGGCACGATTTGAAAATGACCGCACGATATCCTTCATTCCACCTGATGGGTCTTTTGATCTTATGACATATAGACTCAGTACTCAGGTTGACCTTTTTATCTCTGAATCTTGACTTCTCTTTTAACTCCACCTGCTTTTGTCATGGCAATTAATGGTTTTAATTATTTACCGGTTTCAGGTAAAGCCTCTCATTTGGGTGGAAGCTCAAGTTGAAAGACATTCAAGAAGCAGAGTTGAGGTTATGGTAAAAGCAAGGAGTCAGTTTAAGGAGCGCAGGTATTGAGTTTTCTTCTATAGTATTAAGGAGGTTTCTCTGGTTGTCTGAATAACAATATATATGGTTCAACATGGTCTTAATTTGTTAAAATTTAAAACTTGGACCAAATTGTGATTGGTTTGGGTGCACACAAGCATTCTGCTTCAATGGTTAACAAATATATTTCTTGTGCCTTGGATTTTATTAGTTACCATACTAAGAAAACTAATTGAACTGTGCTGTTTTTAGTTGTTCTCAGTTTTACCCGCTCACATGCACATTCCTAGTTCTAGGCGATGTCATTATATTAGATAAGCAAGCACTCATGAAGATCTAATGGTCCTTGGCAGTACTGCTACAAATGTTGAGATTGAGATTCCAGTACCTGCCGATGCTTCCAATCCAAATGTCCGGACGTCAATGGGTTCTGCATCATATGCACCTGAAAGTGATGCACTGGTATGGAAGATAAGGTCATTTCCTGGTGGCAAGGTACTCCTGAAATCATTTATAGTTTGCTAGTATTTTGTTATCTGTGGATGTGAATTAAGAAACTT